CATCGACGGCCCACGAACTGTATTCGGTTGTCTTTATTGCGTGATATTAACAGTATTAGACTAACATGGAATATAGAAAGGTTTTTCCATAAATTAAGTAGTAAATGAAATGAGCTAAGTTCACCTTAAAAGCAAAAAGTACCTCCAACCTGTAATATTTTCTAAGCCACTTAAGATCCTACAGGCTGGAGGTACACGACCAAGAAACATGATATTCATGAAAAAAATGATTCTAGTGTAGTGTAAGACTAGATGGAATGCCAAAAAGTAAAAAATTTAAAGTAAGCTGTGGCAAAGTCAATTAAATATGCAGGTACCTCTAGCGGATTGTATATTCTAAGCCTCTCAATATCCTACCAGCTAGAGGTACAGGACCAAATAAAAAAATAAATGTAAATGTACTCTTGTAAAAAAGATTCCAAGGAGTGTAAGCCTAATTTGGAGTACAAAAAAAGTCAAATGTGGAGCAAAGCGTAATAAAAATCGGGCAAAGTCCACTAAGTATGCAAGCTGTACCTCTAAGCGGTAGTACTTTATAAACCCCTTCAGATCCTACCAGCTAGAGGTATAAGACCAAATAAAAATAAATAAATGTATACGTATTCTTGAAAAAAGTGATTCAAAGGAGTGAAAGACTAATGTGGATTGCAGAAAAAGCACAATGCGAAGCAAACCGTAGAAACAATTGAGCAAAGTTGACTAAATATGCAAGCTGTACCTCTAGCCGGTAGTATTTTCTAAGCCTCCTGAGATCCTACCGGCTAGAGGTACAAGACGATAGCAATTTCATCTTGGGGATCTTTACAATCAGTAGCACTATAATAAGGTGCTATTCATGAGTTTTGTTTATCTTTGTAAGCGCAGGTCCTTGTAGCTGCAGTGTTAAGCGAAAACTCTGCTGAACAAGAAACTTACGATCGACGAGGGTGAAGGAAACAGCCATACAAAATTTAGCGAAATTTTCTTGATTTAAACTCAACAATGTATACTTCACATGTAAAGTATGTTATAATGTTCATGTCTGGTTCAATCACGTCGCTTGACTGTTGGTAAATCGCAAATGGTATTACCGGAATAGTGCACCATATTCGGCAATAGCCGACAATTTCCGATAATCACCCGACTCGGACACTCGTTACTATTGCCAGTGTTAAGCACAACCCTCCCCTCCCACTCGTTCTAGACCTCACACGATCTAACCATTCGTCACGCAATCGAAATCAAAAATCAAAACTATTGCATGCCTGACGCTTAGAGAGGAAGCTTTTCTCACAATAGGTCCGTGGGGTTTTCCGCTGAGGAGTTATTCGCCAAAATGTCTGACATAAATTAGTATTTATAGAGTTCAGTATGGGGACACCGTGTAGGCTCAGCCATAGTTGAGTCAACCTATCACCAAACGAGCTGATTTTTTGCCTCGTTTGCTTCGGTACAAATCGCGTGCAGAATCCCATCTTCAAAAACATCAACAAAACAAAAATGCTAAAAGAAACAGTAAGGTTTTCGAAACCTTGCGCTAGCTATCACTTCTCATCTTCTACAAAATAGTCTTTTCCTGTTAAAAAAGGCGATATAGTGAGAGGTTCAGGATTAGTCATTAGTTCCAAAATCGAGATTATTCTTAAGCTATGATCACAATACTTACATAATTTCTTCACGTAATGATTTTAGTTGACCGCTTCGATATAACAACGCCCCAAGGAATAGGAAAATATCCTACATTGGTTTGGTGTTTATCGCATGCATGTGTATCAACCTGGGAATCGAGTTTCCAACCCTAGCTTGAAAAGAAACATTTACACGTACTCCTGTTGCATTTTTCCACGTAAAAGGTAATTTTTGTTTGGGGAATGGCGTACACAATCAAAATGGTAACAAAACTGCTTCATTTCTCAAGAATTGTTAAGACCTTTACTTAAACGACAATAATAACCTCTTACAGACTTCCTGAGGATTGCCTCAGGCGAGGTCCTTAATGAACGTACACAAATTGTAGATAGTTTTAAAAAAATTACCATAGGAACGTACACGAAAGGCTACCATCAGAATTAATTGGCATTATTTCTCTCTATATTGAGGGGAAAACATTGGCAACAAACAGAAAAACAATTCTGTTTCTTAAAGTTCAGTATGGGCTTGAGCATCCTGAAGATCTCCTGTGACATCCACAAACCCACCAATAGGAGTTCCAACTTTGATTTTCAACTTCTTGCCAGGGGTCACTTTGTCGAGATGAATCACACGGACGGTGAGATCTTCATAATTGCGAAAGTACATTGCCTTGTTGGTGAGGTCCTTGACCACAATCCAAGAAGTGTAGTCGGCCATGCTTTCATGATCATGGGATGCAGCGACTCCGTGAGGAATATCAACAGTGTTCATGATGTGCAAAGCCAAATTTACCGCCTCGTCACTTCTCTTGGCTGTATCAGCAAAGTGCACCATGGCTGCAGATCGTACCAGTCTCGACGGGGGAGTGAAATCTCCTGGAACACCAAGAAGTCCACTTCCTTGGCCAGTGGGTGGAAACGTTGTTTCACCCAATACCAAAGGATCATGAGCGAACTTAGAAAGATGG